ATTCCTGTTCCTGCATTAGAAGCAGAGACAGTTTCATCTAAGGATGTTTATACTCAGCCAAATCTGCCAGAAAATATTGACCAAAAAGTTTATACTGATATTGGCTATTGGCCTGAAACCATGGATGAAATCTTGAAAACTGAACTTGTCAGGCGAGGGACAGAGGAACTGCAGAATAAGGATGCATGGTTTCCAAGAGACAGTAATGGCAGGTCATTTTCCAAGGATTGGTTCTACATACATTTGGACAATGGTGAGACTATGTTAAGGACATGGTTGGTGTTTTCTCCTGTAAACAATGCTGCATATTGCTTTCCTTGCATGCTTTTTCAGAAGGCTAAAGGGAAAAGTTCATTTGGAAAGTCAAGTGGATTTAATGCATGGAGAAAGTTAAGCCCTAGATTACTAGAGCATGAGCGCAGTTCATATCACTTGAGTGCATTTACAATATGGAAAGAATTAGAAATGCGGCTGCATAAACAGGAGACTATGTGATGCTGCTGCCCAGCTTGCACAACAGAGGTCATTTGAAAAATGGAAGGCAATCTTAGTCAGAATACTTGATTGTATTCTGTATCTAGCCAGGCAAACCTTACCCTTACGTGGTCACTCTGAAGATTTAAATACAGATGGTAACTGTGGAAATTTCTTAGAAACTTTCAAGTTACTCGCCAAATATGACCCAGTTGCCAAACAACATCTTCACAGAGTACAACGCATAGATGGTTACAATGTGTCCTATCTCTCTCCACAGAGCCAGAATGAGTTTATTAGCCTGCTCGGCGATCACATTCGAACAGTCATCTTTCAAAATATCATAAAGGCCAAGTATTTTGCTATAATGTTTGATAGCACTCCTGATATTTCACACACTGACCAAATGTCCCAAGTGATTCAATATGTGCATATTGAAGATTCAGGAGTGACAGAGTCTTTCATTGACTTTATTCAGTTATATGGGAAATCAGCTGATGTCATTACAAAACAAATTTGTGACAAGTTGCAAGCTGATGGCCTTAAACTAGAGCATTTCTACGGCCAGGGATACGACAATGCTGCGACTATGGCTGGACACCTTAGTAGTGTACAAAAACATATTTTGGATATGAATCCCAAAGCAATGTTTGTGCCATGTAACAATCACTCGCTCAATCTTGCTGGGATGCATGCAGTTGGTGTTGGGACAAAGTCTGTTACTTTCTTTGGCACTGTGGAAAAGGTGTATTCATTTTTCTCAAGCTCCACCCACAGGTGGGATATCCTTAAGAAACATGTACCAATTCGTGTAAAGCGATTGTGTAACACAAGATGGAGTTCAACGCATGAAGCTGTATGCGTACTTGCTGAACACACTGAGAAAATAATAGACGCTTTGGAAGCGTTGAGAGATGGGCCGGAAGAAACCTCTGAAACCAGGGGTGATGCAGGAAGTCTTTTAGTTTGCATAATGACATGTTTTTTTCTCTTTCTTGCATTTTTGGAACCCATTACTAACCGAAGTAAATGATACTCAGATCTACCTGCAGCAAGAAGGACTTGTGCTTGATCAATGCGTGCAAAAGTTAAAAGCATTGACTTTATTTTGTCATGAAAAACGTGATAGTCTAGTGTCAAAGGCAACTGAGAAAGCTTTGCAGGTATGCAAAACCTATTGCATACCTACAGAGAGAAGAGTTGGAAGACGCAAGAAGATGGATGGTGAGAACAGTTGCGATGATGGCTTGACCTTAATACAGGAAACAAGCAGAGAACAACTGGAAGCAATTGATCAGCTTCAGGCAGAAATTAAAAAACGTACTACGCAGATGAATACGCTGCACCAGTGATTTGCTTTTTTGCAAATTCAAACATTGTTGGATACTAAAAAAGATGATTTTATTAAGAAACAAATTCAGCACACGTGTGCTCAGTACACGGAATTGAATGCTGCATCTATGCTCACCGAAATAACTCGACTTCGGCACCACATTATCTTGTATAAGGAGGTCAATCCTGATGAGCAGGTTGCAAACTGGTCAGCTTTAGATTTGCTTTGCTGGGTGTATAAGTGGAAGCTGCAAGAAAGTTTAACTAACTTTGTTGTCACATTAAGAATCTTTCTTACTATCACTGTTTCTACAGCGAGTTGTGAAAGCAGTTTCTCAAAACTTAAACTAATTAAAACATATCAGAGATCTACAATGAGCCAAGAAAGACTGAGTAATCTAGCAATACTGTCCATTGAGAGAGACTTTAATGTAGATTTCAATTCCGTTGTTGAAAAATTTGCGCTAATTAAAAGCAGGCGAATTTAAATTAATCTGTATATTATATACAGATTGATATCTTGCACTTCTATTAAAGAATTACAATTAGAGGTACAGGATTGAGGAAGTTGGCTCCATCTAGCCCAGTCTTGGATCATCTCCAGGGTATGGTTCCATTTTGATGTTTAGTTTTTGTTCTTGATATTTTTTGTCGTTTACGATGGTTGTGAGACGACATATAATAGCATGGCCCATGCTAGGTTACTACATTTGTATATTTGTATTCATAGACCTGCTGAAAATGTGGAGAATGTGTGTAATGCATGTTCGCACTCAATGAAGTGTTGGAAAATAAACTTGTATTTAGATGCATTTTACTTTAATTACATAAGTATTTTCATAACAAACAATCAGGGCCGTCTTTAATATTGATTGGGCCCCCTGGATCCACTCCCTAGCATGCAATCACGCCTCCACCCCAACACAGTGGTGCAAGAATTTCATTTGGACCCCCAATTGCAAGGTTGGAAAGAAGGTAGAACCCTATCTGTCATGAAACTCCAACAATGCATTGACAGCTGGGGCTCTACCAATTTCCCATGCTTGCAGGGTTGTATTTAGCACTGTGTTTGTGTGTTTTAATGTAAGCATGTTTTTGTATGGAGTATGTTTGTGTGAATGTGTTTGTATGTGGTGTTAGAGTTTGAATGCAAGTGTACATTTAAGTGTAGTGCTGGTTTTTGAATGTAGGGGTTTGTTTATATATAATTTTGGTGTTTAACACAGAGGTGTGTTTGTATGAAGTGTTGACTTTCAATGCAGGAGTGTTTTTGTATGTAATGTTGAAGTTTGAATGGAAGGGTGTATTTGTATTTATTGTTTGTGCTCAGACACAGGTAGACATGCTGACACACAAGCAGATACACACACTGACTACATACAGATACGCACACAGATAGATACACAGACAGATAAACAGACATACTGACATAGATAAATACATACAATGATAGACATACTGACACACACACTGACACAAATGGTCTCACAGGCACATACGATGACAAACATAGTGACACACACACAGGCACAAACACTGATAGACATACTGACACACACACACACAAACAGGCACATATACAGACATACTAACACACACACACAGTATCTCTATCAGCGTATGTGGCTGTGTGTGTGTCAGTATGTCTGTATATGTGCCTGTGTGTGTGTGTCAGGATATCTATCAGTATAAGTGCCTGTGTGTGTGTGTGTGTTTCAGTCTGTCTGTATGTGCATGTGTGTGTGTGTCAGTATGTCTATCAGTGTATGTGCCTATGTGTGTGTGTCAGTATGTTTGTCATTGTATGTGCCTGTGTGTGTCAGTATGTCTATTAGTGTGCCTGTATCAGTATGTATATCAGTGTATGTGCCTGACACAAACACACACACACAAACACTGGAAGACATACTGACACACAGGCACATACACTGGCAGACATACTGACACACAGATACATACACTGATAGACATGCTGACACACATACATACACACTAATAGGCATACTGACACACAAACAGGCACATACACTGACAGACATACTGACACACACAGATACATACACTGTCAGATATACTGACATACACTCACAGACATACTGACACACACAGAGATACAGACACTGTCAAACATACTGACATACACACATACACTATCAGACATACTGACATACACAGACACACACAGACATACTGACATACACAGACACATACACTGTCAGACATACTGACACACACACACACACACACACTATCAGACATACTGACATACACAGACAAACTGTCAGACATACTGACACACAAACACACACAGACATACTGACACACACAGACACATACACTATCAGACATACTGACACACATACTGACACACACAGATACATGGACAGACAAACTGACATACATGTAAAATTTAAATTTTAAGCCCACCCTCCAGTTTCCTACCTTTTGCTGGAGGGTGGCATCCCTGGGATCCAGTGTGCTGCCTGAGGATGATGTGAGTGAGGAGCCCCCATCCTCACTGCCTCCTCCTCCCTCCCGTGCAGGTCCTTCTTCTCCTGCGCAGCAGCTCTTTATGGGAGGAAGTGACGCTCGGCACTCACTTCCTCCCAGCGCTGCCGAAAAGCAAGAGGCCCGGTCGCGCTGTTAAAGGGGCGCCTAAAGCGGCCGGGAAACATTTTATTTTTTTAGGGCAGCGGGGCCCACGGGACAGCTGCCTTCGGCCCCCAGGAGTAATTGGGCCCGGGGCAGCTGCCCCGTTTGCCCCGCGTTAAAGACGGCCCTGCAAACAATACATGTGCTTGGGGGGTAAGGGTTTCTTTAACTAATCTAGTGGAAGAGACTCGAGTGCTAAAATCCACGGGTTAGGGGGCGCAAATTACTTGCCTTGCCCCGGGTGCTGACAACCCACGCTACGCCACTGGGAGGGCCACATCTATATTGCTAAAAACGTAATATAGTAAAGATAACAATAGTGGCAATAATAACAAACACAGAAAGTCAGCCAGTTCTGTAATTTTGATATTTCAGCAGCTTAGTAGATGGCCCCCTAATCTGGTTTCCTGGTATGGTATTGCCGTGTATAAGGATACTAAATAAGGTAGCTACTTGACAGCTGAGAGTTCAAAATTAAGAAAACCTATTTTCTTCTAAATATACCTTTCCTCGTGTCCCTTTCTTTCCCCATGCATATCACATCTCTCCATGTGCCCTTGTCTATCAGTCTTTCCCTTCTCTAGCAGCAATCCCCTTATTTTCCTGGCATAGTTTTATCACCCCTTTAACATGGGTGTCCCTTTTTTCCCCTTCTCTTCCAGTGCCACCCTAATTTCCTCTCATCCCAGGGTTGGATTTACCCTCTCCTATCCTAAGGCCAGTTTCCTCAATTGACATCAGCAACCCTCATTTGGGAAGCCATACAATATCAGTTGAAAATTCCATTATCAAACGATATCATGGCCCATGCTTAGACTCTCTTAAAACTTTGTTCAATCATATTGGGTAATGATTTGAAAGTGAAAAGGAAAGTTAAACGAAATGGGAAGGAAAAGTAGGAACATTACCTTCACTAGGATCCTATTTTTGTAATACCGTATATACTCGAGTATAAGCCGAGTTTTTCAGCACACTTTTTGTGCTGAAAAACCCCAACTCGGCTTATACTCGAGTCACTGTCTGTATTATGGCAATTTACATTAATTTACATTGCTATAATACAGACTGGGGGCTGGCAGAGCTGTTACTTACCTCTCCTGCAGCTCCTGTCGGCTCTCTCCTCCTCCGCGCCGGTCCGGTCAGCACCTCGGTCAGCTCCCAGAGCCGCGGGGTCATAGTGCGGCTCTCGCGAGACTTACAGTGTGAGCTGAGAGAAGAGCTGCACGGACCGGCGCGGAGGAGGAGGGAGCTGGCAGGAGCTGCAGGAGAGGTAAGTAACAGCTCTGCCAGCCCCTCTCCTCCCCCCACTGAACTGCCAATGCCACTGGACCACCAGGGAAGGAGAGCCCCCCTCCCTGCCATGTATCAAGCAGGGAGGGGGGACAACAAAATAAATAAATTAATAATAAATAATAAAAAATAATAATAAAAATAATAATAAACAATATAATATAACTAAAAAAATGAACTAAAAACTAAATAAAATAATAATAATAAAAAAATTATTAAAAAAATAATAATATAACAAAAAAAAATGTAAATAATAATATTTTTTTTTTTTATAAAAATGCCCACCCCCCACCAAGGCTCTGCAACACAAACACACACTGCATCACACACACTGCACTCATACACACACACTGCATTCATACACACACACTGCACTCATACACACACACTGCATTCATACACACACACTGCACTCATACACACACACTGCATTCATACACACACACTGCACTCATACACACTGCATTTATACACACTGCGCACTCATACACACACACTGTAAATAAATATTCAATTAATATAATTTTTTTAGGATCTAATTTTATTTAGAAATTTACCAGTAGCTGCTGCATTTCCCACCCTAGTCTTATACTCGAGTCAATAAGTTTTCCCAGTTTTTTGGGGTAAAATTAGGGGCCTCGGCTTATATTCGGGTCGGCTTATACTCAAGTATATACGGTAGATTGTTTTGAATGTTACGTTTTGTACTGTTTATGGTAAAAATTTAACTTTAGAATTAAAAGAAAATTTCTAAATATAAGGTTTCTTATAGCTCAAAACGGCTATATAATCTTATCTTTTAGTATATGGGCAGTGTTCTCATGAGGTTGATCCCACATGCTGAAGGTGTGGAGAGGTGCCAGGAACATATACTTCTGTATCTGGTGAAATTATCCTTTAACCCACAGGTTTTACCAAATGATCCACTGACTACACCATCAGATTTATTTACTAAAATGAGAATTTAAAGTGAATTTCAAATTTAAGTCCAGAGTAACCAAAGTAAAAGCATAGCTAGGATTTTTTTTCCCTCCAGTTCAGATACTTTGAATTCTCACTTTAGTAAATTAACATGTATATCAGTTATAAATATGGCTTGGACTATGTCCTACCTTTTCTGCAGTTTCTTTATACTCCTCGGCACAGACGGGCTGGCTGTATCACCTTATGGAATACTGTGATGCATTTTTCCACACTTTTTATATAGGTATTTATAAGATTTTAAGTAACATAGTAAGGCTATTTATTTTTATTATTAAGAATCCCCCATTTCCTTGTACTCCCAGTTAAATTACTTTAGTTTATCATTTTCACACACTGCACTTCATACTCTGGAATCCCCATTCTCGTATTTATAGAATAGTTTACAGATGGCAGGTGGTTACACAGTTCCAAGCACCCAGAAGGACCCAGGTAAAAAAAAATTCTATTGGAGGACAGCGCCCACCAACACCAAGCACCATAACCACTGCAAGTCTTTGGGTGGTATGGTGCTTCTAATATTCCTTTAAAGTTTAAACAATATGTAGGAAATAGTTTAGAAATGTTTAATTATTGCATGCTTACACTGTACTCATTTTCAAATAGGTGATAGGTCTCTGTTCAGTTTGTTTTGTTGCGTGTATGCTTATATACATTGTACAATACTATATATTTGTGTTATGTAAATACTTTTTCACTAATTTGTAATTAAAGGGACAGTCCAGATCCCTATATAACTAACTTGCTGAAAAGCTTTGTGTGAAATTTTTTTTTACATTTTGCAAAACATGCATATTTCTATTGAAATTGACAACTTTATAAATTAGCCTGGTTACACCCCCTTGGATTTTAAGCTCAGTGGAATCAAACTCAAGAAGCAGTAATTGCAATAGCTTCTCACTGAACTGCATGTGGAAGTCTGACAACCACAGAAAGCCTGGGTGGAATTAGAAGAGGAGAGTTTGCAAAGGTAGCAGACAAGAGAACTACAGCTTTTTCAAGCTTTTTTTAAAAAAATTTTTGGTATACCCTCAAATGGGGGGGAAAAAAAATGCAGAATTAAATGCATGCAAGTTTTCAGTTGGGATATATCTACTCAACAGTGATTTTTATTTTGGACTGTGGATTGTTCCTTTAAGACATCTCATGCGTGTGCTGTCTGCGCCACTTGGCAAAAACTTTGTCCATTTCCCGGCACTGCAAGATGAAAACCAGAAAAGGGAGACAAACAATGCCACAACTTCAGCACACATTAAAAGGACAAGTATAGGCACCCAGACAAATTCAGCTCAATGAAGTTGTCTGGGTGCCAGATCCCTCTAGTTTTAACCCTGCAGCTGAAAACAGTTTCAGAGAAACAGCTATGTTTCACTGATGGTTAATCCAGCCTCTAGTGGCTGGATCACTGACAGCTGCTAGAGGCGCTTCCGCGATTCTCACTGTGAAAAGTCAATTTAGTAATGCTTTCCTATGGACGATTTTAATGCATGCGACTCTTGACGCGCATTTGGATCTGACGGCGGCAGGGGGTGGAGAAAACAGTCGTCCGGCGCTGGAGAAAGGCAAGTGTCCCAGCAGGACAGGGGGAGCCTAATGACCCTATAGTGGCAGGAAAACAGGTTTGGTCATTTAAGTACAGATAGTATTATTCCGGTCTCTGGGGGCTACATAAGTTTGTTTGCATTACTGAGGTCCAGGTTTGTGTTAATGAAAATGGCTGTCCAACATAAAGCTGAAAGAATCTGCAAAGATGCATTGCAAAAATTATTCTAATTGCTTCAGGCTGTAATTGCTGCCAAAGGTGCTTTAACCAAGTACCGAGTTAAGTGTCTGAATATTAATGTCAATGATTTCAGTTTCTCTCTTAAAGATATTTTCAATGTGAAAGGTTTTCACACAAATCCAAGTTTTGATTAAAGTTGTGTTCTTATAACCGAACAGTGTTAATCCTCTCAAGGGGGTGGTTATTGGTTAAAGGAACACAAACCTGTATTCCTGACCCTATATAGTGTTAAAACCACCATCTAGCCCCCCTGGGCCCCTCATTGCCTCCCTAAATATAGCAACATCTTACATGTACTCAAGCCTGAAGCTGCTGGCTCTGCACTGTCTGCCTACATCATTAGAAGTGGTAGCCTGATCCAATCACAGTGCTTCTCCATAGGATTGGCTGAGACTGACAGGAGGCAGATCAGGTGCAGAGCCAGCACAATTAAAAAACAGCCCAGACCAATCAGCATATCTTCATAGAGATTAATTGAATCAATGCATCTCTATGATGACAGTTCAGTGTCTGTATGTAGAGGGTGGAGACACTGAATGTTTGGATGCATTTTAGGCAGCCATGACCCAGGAAGGATTTCTAACAGCCATCTAAAGAGTGGCAAGTGAAGACTATAGTGACCCTTTAACGATTTTCAACAAAAACAAAAAGTGAAGTCCTATAATTTCAACTCTCATTTGGTTTTAAATAAAATTGAACTGTACTTGAAAGCATTACTGACCATTTGTCTTACGTGTTACTACAGGGATATGATTTTAGCTATATTAACAGTACAAACTAAATTTTGAACTGGGTTCAATTTTAATAGCAGTCTGGAATGGTCAGAACGGCTTCTAGGACTTCGGATTATTCACTAGAGTGAACTCAGGGAACATTTCAAATTTTAGGTCAGACAAAAAAAAAATACCGTACTTATTTGCTGATCAACACTGAAATCTTATAAGTAAAAATTTTATTAAAGAAATCTGCAAATGAGCATATTTGCTTGACAACTGTCTACAACATCCTTGGTTTTAAATTTTATTTTTATATGCAGTTGAAAGGCACAGAAGGAGCAGTTAGTGGAAGGAGATGGCTTCTAACAACATGAGAAAGTTACACGTTTGTCCAGCGAAGATTTTGATTGTAACGGGACAATTGTCTCATCCATGCTTGCCTTATGAGAGAAAGACATGACACTTGCATATTTAGACAAAATTCTTTCAGGGTTAGTTATTAAAGTGAGAATTTAAAAATTTATGTTTAAAATAGCCAAATAAGAAAATCCAGCAATGCTTTCAGTTCAGCCTTAAAGGAACACTAGCATTATTAAAATAAAAATGTATTCCTAACACTAGACAATGATTTTGATTAAATTCCCCAATGAAAGAGCACTTTACTCACCTTATTTCCTCCAGCCTCAATGCAATTGCCCTGCCTCCCCTGACAGATCGATCCTGATGATTACAGTCAAATCTATGCTCTACTGATCAGTGTTTAATTATTAAACGTACAGGTCAACTAATTTTAACACAGGATGCAAATGTGTGTTCTGTTGCAAATTAACTTTATGAAGTGTTTCAATAATAACTGGGATGTCCACAAGGTAATCGTCACCAATTTAGACTTAATGAGTAGATTAAATGGGCCACGTCTCCTAGGTTTGAGTGAACTGTACATATCCACAGCAAGCATACCAAAAAGATTAAAACAAAATAAAATTGTTTTCACCTCATTTATTTTAATTTCCATTGTAATCCAATTAAAAAAAAAAAAAATTAAAAAAAAAAAAAGCTAGATACAAATTTAAACCAGGTAAGCACTAGTATTAGCCAAAGGGAGCAGGCCTATATACGTAATCGTAAAAAGGTACTGAAAGCTTTTCAGCAAAGCTTTCTCAAAAAACAGTAGTCAACCTTGTTTTCATTGCACAAAATAAAAATATTCTCTGAACCAACTTTTTCACACTTTAACCTTCTTTTACAGTTTGCAACTGCTTAATAACTTATCAGAAACCCACCATGGGTTTCTTATCTTAGAAACATTACTCTTTTTTCTTTAAACAAGTAATATCTGCACAATTCACCACCAGGTGTGTCTTGATTCCTCTAGAAACATTGTTTCTGCATTGACCAAGTATTTAACTTGTATGTAAAATATTAGCTAGGCAGACTCCTAGGCCATATGAGCATTAATGTACTTGCAGATTTATTTTGTACTGAAAGGTACGCAGCAAATGGGAGGAGAGATATAAAAAAAAAAAAAAGTAACAACCATAAGATGCCATTACACTCTCAGCCCTACAAAATGAATTATGACATGAAAGCAAATGCTGAACAAACAGGATTTCTTCTCAAATATCTGTCCCAATCCTACCTTCATTTTACTGCAGCAAAATCATTTGCATCATTTAAATGATTCATATAGTGCTTTTGTTTTCTGGTAGAGCAAGAAAGCTTTCACACCTGATACATTCATGTTTTACCCCCTGCCCTCAATACTGTTGACTAACACTCTAAAAAATGTTAGGGGTATGACCAGTGCAAATGGGAAGATCACCAAATAAATAGTACCTTGTGCTTCCTGATACATTTGATTCAGTGTCCCATCATTTCACATTTTTGAAGAGGCTAAAGCAAAGATGTTGCAAACATCTTCTCTTTACAATGTCCATACAGAAAAGAATGGAGGAGAAAAAAAAAAAATGAAGAGGGGGGGGAACCAAAAAAAAAAACAAAACAAACAAAAACAAAAAAAACCGAACTCCTGCGCCTCAAAAAAAATGTTCTGATACAAAATAAGGAAAACAAATATCCAGCATGAAGGTTCACAACGTACAAGTGTTCTGAGCATAAGTCCATATTCTTCTGGAATTTGAAGAAAAAATTTCTGCCAACATCTGATCTTCCCTGTTTGACTGGTCAATGCCTTACTCAGGCATATAAGGGCAGAGGTGATCCTCTATGGTGCCAACCGCCCAATGGGTGAGCTGTTCCTGTGGTAGGTACAGGCAGATGCTGCATAACTTGAATATTGTGGTTTTGCTTTTAGGAGTCTAAAAAAAATAAACAAATGAAAATAGTTCCGATTAGCATGCAATGGATTAACAGAAGCTTTCTGTGTTTGTGTTGCATGTTGCATAACAAGTCACTCTTATGCCAATTGTAACTAGATTACTGGACCAGAATAGCCAAGAAGAGGAGTCGATAACATGATTTCAAATTACCTGCAAATGCTGTCTATCAATAAAGAGGAACACTGACTGGTTTGGATTGTTTATAACAATTCCAGTCTTGTCCTTCCGGCTCAGTGCGTGCATAAGATGTTTTTCATAATCACCATGATTAAATTCAAACTTGGCCTGAAATGTAATGGCAAAGTTATTAATCACTACAATCAGAACATTTTACACATATTTCTACATATCTTCCCACACTAAATTCAAAGAATGAGAAACAGTTACTGTGAATTCCTGACTTAACACTTTGAGGCAGGATTGTTTACTAAAGTGGCTACTTTGGTGTACATTTTAGAATTCACTTTTACAGTCAAGCTAAAAACCAGCACAAAAGATTTATGTTGGCACATTTTGGACTACAAAAAGTTTTAAATTCTTGACAATTTACATTTTAGTAAACAACCATGACAGTTATTCCTGATAGAATATAAGTCTCTTGCTGGGTGGTGTACCTAAAAATGTAATTAAAAAACCCCACACAAAACAAAAAATAAATATACACACACTTTTAATTAAGTCACAAGAAAAAGTTGCCTATTTAAAGGGAAATTCATTGTAATAAAATGCATATAGTATTTCAGAAGTATGCATTTAGTACAACTTGAAAAAATATTTTCAATTTCTGAGTCTTACAAGTTACCTTTCATTATCTGCAGAAAAATGCATAACCATTAGGTTAATATTTAATTAACTTTAGGTTTTGCAAAAAAGTTATCCTGCAATCATCTTTAGTCTTGTTTTTTGCTTTCAATCTTCTCCACATCATGTGGGAACAGAGTTTCGCTACAGCTCACACAGATTAAAACAAGACTTATATAACTGGTTTACCTGGTCCTTCCACTTATTTGGCATAGGTGATTTAAAAAAAAATATATATATATACATATACATATACACACACCTTAAGCCATTGTGTGTAATATGTAGTTCTGATGAAACTGAATGTGTGCACTTACTAAATTTATACCAAGTATGGTAGGCATTCAGCTCTGTGCATAATTTTAGTCAAATTGGAATCTATATTGCATAAAAAATAAAATAAAAAAAAAGTATATATAATTTTTTTTTTTTAAATGCAATGTAGATTCCAATTTGACTAAACCAAATTATGCGCTCAGCATGAAGATGACTGCAGGATGACTTTTTGCAAAACCTAAAAGTTTATTAGTTATGCATTTTTCTACCATTTAAGCACAAACTATTTTTCCTGTAGATAATGAAAGATAGCTTGTAAGGCTTAGAAACAGAAAATATTTTTACAAGTTATATTAAATCTATACTTTTAAAAATGTATATGCATTACAATGAATTTCTCTTTAAATATGCAACTCTTGTGGCTTTTTAAAAAAAACCAAAAAAAAAAAAAACCTATACAGATCACAAATCTACAAGAATCTTTTATGTACCTTACTCTCTACTAGAAGATAAACAGTCTAACGTGGGTGAAATGGGGAAAACAAAACACTCCACCTTAAGGTAAAGCTAGCATTCTAAAAAAAAAACTAGAGACTTACCAGAACAGGCCTAAAGGGCTCATCAGATCCCTTCCACCTAGAGAATAGAAGACAGACAATCTTCTCAATGTCATTCCTAGGCCACAGAATAAAGTCCATCTCCTGAGTGCATCCAATTACATCCTAAAAACAAGAAAAGGTTAGTTATATTTTGAGCAAAAACAGCCATGTTTACTTTCTGTATGTGCTTAGGCTTATACAGAAGCAGTACTCATTAACTTCTGAAATACATCTTAAAAACATACTATATAGAAAAACACTATTTGTTCAGATTTACATGTAATGCTATTGTTTCCGTTTTACTTAAAGCCCTTTTCCCTTTTTATTTGCAATGTATGTCGGTTTATTTTATGTCATTTCAGATACCTTAAAGGAGCACAATAGGGTCAGGAACACAAACATGTATTCCTGACCCTATAGGATTAAAACCACCACCTAGCCCCCCTCATGTCTCCCTAAATATAGTAAAAATCTTACTTGCATTCAAACCTGAAGCTGCTGGCTTTGTCCCCGTTTCCTTTAGACCTGCCCATTACCTGCTGGCATCAGCAGAAGTGGTAGCCTGATCCAATCACAATGCTTCACCATAGGACTGGCTGAGACTGAGAGGCAGCGCCAGCACAACTCAAAACACAGCCCTGGCCAATCAACATCTCCTCATAGAGATGAATTGAATCAATGAATCTATATGAGAAAAGTTCAGTGTCTGCATGCAGGATTTCTAACAGCCATCTAAAGAATGGCCAGTGAAGTTATCACTAGGCTATAATGTAAACACTGCATTTTCAGCAAAAAGCCTGAAGGTAATGATTCTACTCACCAGAACAAATTCAATAAGCTGTAGTTGTTCTGGTGACTATATAGTGTCCCTTTAAAAAGACAATCCACTGCAAGAAAAAAAAAAAAAAAAAACACACCACACACTCTCTCCCCAATTGGAGGTATATCTAAAACAGCCAAAAGGTACCGTCTACAGCCTTTGCAAGCACTCACTTATCACCTAGCCCAGACGGACTGTAGCTGCACATAACAGATATCCCAATGCAGCTCAATGACAAGTCTTTACAAGGCAATTGCCTGCCTTTTGAGTTTAGCTCCAATGAGCTAACCAAACCAGGAATTAATAAGACTGATTGTCTGACAGCCAGAGTACTGCAACAAGGTTCATTTATAAAACTTACAATGTCTATTGACATCTGCACTTTGTAACATATACACACACACCTCCACTAACATATGCAGTGAGAAAAAAATAAAATACATAATTGAATGCATTCTTTCATTGAAGAGATATAGATAGATACACACACAGAATAGACAGTGAAAGTTTTTTTTTTTATTAAGTCTGTACAGTGGAATTACTTTTTAACCCTCTGATTATAATGTATCTCTCAAGTGGTTTTAAATACAGTATTTTCTTTGCCAGCAGGGATAGCGTGAATGGCAAAATCGCAGGAAATGTAAAAGTATAAACAGTAGGTAATGCGGGGAACACATGGTCAAGAGGATTAAAGACTTCGAATTGAGCTAGTGAGGCAGTCTGTGGACATGGGGGGGAAAGGCAGGCGTGTTCTAGCAAAGCACAAAATCACTTCTGTTCACCTTCCTGGCTGTCAGGTGTGTGTGCAATGATTTACAAGAGTACCAATTTCAAATAGCACTAGAATTAAATGAGCAAGATAAAGTGCCTTGAGTGTTCCTTAAAGGGAAGTAACTAGAGTGCCCTGCAGTAGTTATGGAGCTTGTAGTTTTCCCTTAGACACATCTCCACATATACACATTGTAGAGAGTTTTTGGATGAGGGGGATTATATACACAATGTAATTATTTTTGTAATGCATCCTGTATAGCAGTGCAACAGTAATTTGACAGTTCATCCTAAATGCTGCTGCAAGCACGATTTTTGAATTGTTCTTACCCTGCGCATGGACTGGTAGCGCGGTGCATGAAGCTGTACTATGTCCTTCTGCAGAAGCTCAAGGGAACTTTCCAATGAATAGCTGGAATCCCGCACACCTTTCAGAATGTTTTCTTCATAATTATTGGTCATAACCGGTATCACGTCAGCTACTTCAAACAGAGCTGACTTTTTCTTCTAGAGAAATGTAAATTTAGCATAGGTAAACCAGTTAGATATAACTTCTACTAAAAGTTGGTAAGTATATATACATATCTGAGAATTTAAATGCATTTATGCCAAAACATAAAACAGTAACTGTGAAAATAAGATGGAATTGCAAAATAAAAACCCCTTAGTCATTGTACATACACAAAACTAAAGTCACAGAGGAAAATATAAATCCCCCAAAATGATCAATTTCCCCTGCCAGAAATAATTGTTTTCTAATGTGAGCTTGCTAGATTACCGCTTTCTATACAGGAAGATTAACACAGCCAACACTCCTTCCCCCATATTTTTGAGTCCTGTCCCACAAACCCAATTTAGTTTCATTAGATGCACTCTAACTGTGCACAAGCACCAGGACCATGTCGAGAGCTTCAAGAGAGCTCTATGGTCGTGCAGGTTGGGGACTGGCCAGACTTTCCCCTTTAGTACCTCAGTGGGCAGAATAGACAGTGACATCACTGGCAACACCAGTCATGCGTGTCCACCCAATTTGCATCCTCCCAATATTAGAAAGTATAATTAACAAAGAAAATGATTTAAAAAAAAAAAAAAGTCTGCTTTGCAGAGCATGACATAGCAAAACAAAAGATAGCAGACGACTCAAGAAGGGTGTAATTGTGAAGTTTGAGAGGTAAAGAGCCTCTTAAATTTCAGCAATTAAACCTTACAGGAATACTATTGTACAAAGCTGTATTTCCAACGGTAGTGTCCTTGTCACTACTCTTTTTCAGGTGCCCCATGCATTAAAATGTTATCAAGATTCACTCACTTTTTCCAGCATCAGGGCTCCTTAAGTGCTTACACCTATCTCTCTTCTGTAACCCCACAGAGGAGTTAAGGTCCAAACCAATTCTCCGCAATACATTCATATGGGGATTCTACGTACGCAGAGCAAGAGGACATCCAGTGTCAGACAACCAAAGTCGCAAAGCAAGCAGGAAGTGCCCCTAATGGCCGTCTGACAGCCACTAGGGGTAGTCTTAACGCTACAATGTTATCATTGCAGTTTATCAGAAACTGCAATAATGAACACTGCAGAGTTAAAGGGACAGGGACATTGCACCCAGACCACTTCAATAAAATTAGTTGGTCTGGGTGCATATAGAGCCCGTTTAACCCCTTAAGGACCAAACTTCTGGAATAAAAGGGAAGACATGTCACACATGCCATGTGTCCTTAAGGGGTTAAAGCTGGGGTTCTCAACGTTAGTCCTCAGGACCCCCTACCAGTCCAGGGATTACCTGGGTGTGTCTAAGGTGTTTAGAAAAAGAAAAAAAAGACACCTTAGAGTCAAAGGTGTTTTTTTTCTCCCCTTTTTCAAAACACCTTAGACACACCCAGGTAATCCCCAAATCCTGGACTGGTAGTGGGTCCCGAGGACTGAGTTGAGAACCCCTGGAGTAAAAAGGTAGCTTTACTTACGAAGTCATTGCAGCGGCTGGCCTCGCCTCCATAGAAAAGCATTGGATTGGCAGATATCGACCCTGGCCAGTCAGCATCTGGAAAGCTCACCATCAAGCTGAATGTCAGTGCAGCACTGACCCAGGAAGTACCTCTATTAGCCATCTGAGTGGCCACTAGAGGAGTTTGTAAGCTGTAATGTAAACCCTGCCTTTTCTCTAATAAGGCAGCGTTCACATTAGAAAAGACTGCAGGGACTGACTATACTCACTAGAACAACTATATGAAAGCGGTGTTCGAGGGACTAGTAGTGTCCCTTAAAAAAAAAACCACACCCTCCTAGTTGGGAAGCATTTATATAAAGACCAATTTCTTGATGCTTTTATACTTACCATGTTCCAATGACAAATCTATGCCCATTACTTTGAACAGAACTCGGCTATTGTTATATCACGAGTAAACGGTGCCATGTAAGTTTCACTAATTTTAAGTAAATGTATTGTTACTTTACGGATCCTGCATGCACTGCTGCTTATTTTGTTGGTCCTTTCTATTGAAAGATACTCTTAAATATTTGCAAAAAAAAAAAGTTAACTTGATTGTAGTGGTGGTCAAAGCCACAGGGAGGTCCACAGGCTTCTCATAGAGATTCCTTCCTACATTAACACTTCAAAAAGCAGAAGTGGTCATTGGAGTAACCTAGACTGTGGATCATCAACGTCAAACATATTGAGGCACAGTAGCAAGGGACAGCACCAGAACCATGTGTGTTTAAGGTACCCATTTTATATCTTGCTTTTCAAGAAAAAACTGACAATTTGAGTTCTGACCTGAGGTCCAATGGGCACCGCTCCCAGCAACCAAGAGTGAGAAGATACTACTAGCAGCTTCTGTTAGCTCTTCAGAATTAAGTCATGCAGTACCAGCTCAAAGGCTGAGAACAGACTGCTTTAAAAAAACAATGGAGACACTCCTGGCACCATAATCACAGTGCATGAGGTTTTCCTTTGAAAAAAAAAAGCAGTCTACATAAAAACACTCAAACCTGATTCTGACATTGAAGAGCAGAGTTCAAAACTGATTAACCAATGCAATAAGATGGTTTATGGCACTGTTACAGAGTCTGTAAATGATTTTTTTTTTTATCCGTTTAAAACCAGTGTTATGGTTAATCATTGTGAAACTGATCTCCAAACCTTTAGCATGACATACAGCAACCTGCAAAAATTCCTCTAATCCTTAACATTGAAAGCGTTTGTTAAAAAGTTTTTCTTAGAAGTTTACAGAAGAGTTAAAACCAGTTTGCCAAGAATACTTTGTGGGGTGGGTGGGATAAATATGTGTGTAAACAGGTGTCACAATAAGCAAATTCAAGAAGTAACTTCACATTTCTTTACTTTTTAGATAATGCAGTAGTCTGCACAGTCAATACATTAGGAATATAACAAAACAAAAATGCTTTTGCTGCTGAATCAAGATTTTGGATATTCATACATTACCTTGTCTTTGAAAACAAAGGCGATATACATCTTGAAGTCAAACTGGTCAGCTAGAGATTCTTTCTTCTTTCGTAACTGAGAACGCAGTCTGTTCAGAGCCTGTTTCTTGCGAGAGTTTGGGTCCCCCATTTTGCAACACAGCTGGTGCGAAGGCCTAAGTAGCCTGTCACTAATTCTGGGTATTTTTGCGTTGCTTTAGACACCAGTTTAACAAATACAAGCCATCTGACCCCCTTTAAGTGAATTAACAGGTCAACGAAACCCAAAGCGCTAGTTAGGCAATGTGTGACAAGCCTGTGTTATTACCAGGATTAACAAACACATAGGGCTGCACAACCATAGCTCTGTCTGATGAAAAGTAAAGAGGCATTTTTAATTTGAAAAAAAACAAAAAACTACAAAAAGAAATTGAAACACATCTTAAAATGCCAGGGGCACAATGATGGAAAAATAAAGCCGTTCCCTGTTATTAGCCTGTACCATAAAATCAAAAGCCATCCTCTGATGGCATTTTATTTAAACCTCCCAGCTCATAGAAAGAAAAAAATAAAACCAGAAGATAAGCCAGACCCAAGGCTGCATTATATATTATATTTAAAGGATGCCAAATTTACTCTAGGCAAGACTTTCCCCCTTTTCTACAGGTTTTTTTTTTGTGTGCAAAAAATAAAATAAAAAAAATATATATTATTTTCCTGTGTAATACGTGGGAGAGGGTTGTTCACAGCACAAGTAAAGTTGCCTCGCCATACCAGGGATGAGGACAGAGAGGCCCATGTGAGAGTGCCAGTGGCAGCCCCTGGGGAGGGACGCCATGTTGCCCTAGGCAAGAAGCAAGGGGGAGGGGGCTCAGTGAGTGCTCGCTAGGCCTCAGTCAGTCAGTCAGCCTACTGTTCGACCTCCCTAATCTGAGGGCATGTTCAGCGGTGAGGGGTCATGGCCATGTCGCGATAGTGGGCGACAGACTAATAAATGTAGGCCGGCCGGAGGGGGCCGGGTGGCGCCTGCTGGGTGTCCTGGGCCGGTGGCTGTGTGAGGGAGAGGGGGCACGGCTGGGCTAGGTGGGGTGTCTCTGGTGTCCTATCCGCGCCGGCCGCCTGTCATGTCTGGGCGCCGTGTGTCTGAGCGGGCTGTCGGTCTCTGCTGGGGGAGGAGGCTGGCGGTGCTGAGGGTGAGAGCTCCGGGGGGATCCATGTCAAGAAATGAGCAGGGCCCCCAACGGACCCCGCTGCATGAGAGCGGCACTGCTCAGAGGGCTGCGCACCCTGCTACACCCCGACCCACCCATAGTCCGAACCGGGGCCGCGCTGGGACAAGGAACGAGGTGCGGCTCGGGGACTCAGCGTCGGTCTGTCGGGTCACTCGGCGAGGAGGAGGGCGCTCGCACAGCCTGGCAGGCGGCGGGAGGGGAAACGTCCTCGCGGCCCAGCTATAACAGACAAACAACGGGCAGACACACAGGAATAAGATGGCCGTCACTGCGTCACCGCCTGACTACTCCCGCCCGGGATTCCGCGGCTTCTTCCATGTCTGGGAGAGAGGGGGGACGAGTGGTTTTAGTCAGGGATGATTAGCACTTCTTTCACACCGACGCTAAAGTAGATGGGCTGGACTGAGTGTTTATCTACGTGAATAGCTCTTTGGGAAACCAAAAACATCGAGGGTAGCAGAAGGAGACAATATTTGCATCTTATCAGTCTCCGCGCACCCCTCCTTCGCTAATGGTTTCGACCAATCAGTCAGCCTCTCGTTCTTGGCTTCGGACGCATGGTGACGCCACGCGCATTGTTCGGAGAATACATAGAGTTCTACGTTCTAAAGAGAACTCTGTCGCCTGGCAGTTATGCACAAAACGTCACTGAAATGTGAGCGTCAGCAGTTTGCCCACACACCAGATCACGCAGAGAGCTTAGCTACGTAATGGGCTTCACAAAAATGGAGACACGAAGAGCGACTAGTGTATTTCCTAGGTTTAGCGCTCCCATAGTTAAAGCAACTTGCGCATTTTTTTTCTTTTGTACTAGAAAACTTTATTGAAATCATAGTGTAGCTGTAGCAAGAGCTAGATTTCTTGTCGAAATAAATAAAATAAAGCTTTGGGAATATGAGATTACAGGCTTTGTTACACGATGCTCCCATGTGCCTAATATCAATTGTGGACAAAAATTACGCACAGGGGAGAGATATAATCAGCTTCTCCCTTACAGGCAGTGCATTGGCAAGGGAAAGCTTGCTCTTCCCTCCATCCCAACTCCCTTCATATCTGATGTTTTGTTGTTTTTTTTATAACAGCGCATTTTTGACAGTGCAATAAGATCCACAATGAATATCGCTACTCTGTATATTGTCTCTGAGCCTCGCATGTGACACAGCGAAGTAAACATTTTTTTTTTATTATTATTACTTTCTTTCTATTTCATTTAGTATCTTCTAGTTTATTTTCTTCCATTATTTTCCATTTCTTTTTATTTTTTCGATTGACTTTTTCCAGTTTTTCCTATATTTTCTTCTTTTTTTTCTGTTTTACATTTTCTTCAGTTTTTCCTATACTTTTTTCTTATTTTTTCTGTGCTTCTACATTTTCTTTTCAGTTTTTCCTGTATTTTTTCCCCCCAGTTTTTATTTTTGTTTAAATTTGACAATTTTTATTGTTCAGTTTAACAGTTATGACAAACAGTACATTGCCTTTGGTTTTACCGTTGTTACAATTAAGCATTCCTGGCTAATCATGGCAGCATCACTTATGGGTAGCTCCGCCACAATCAGGAACAAGACATGAAAAAAAGGTTCAATTAATCTGGACCAGACTGGGGTATAAAAGGTCCCTCCTCCTTCCATCCCACAGTCTTTCTTCCTGTCCTTTGAGGACAAACAGGGAAAAAAAAAATTTTTTGGCCCACCTTCCCATGTGTACCATGGGCTTTCCAGATGAAGTTCAGCCTCTCTTCATCTGAAGAACAGCCTGTACAGGCAGGACTAACTGAGTTTGGTACAGATTAGCATCTGTACTGCTTCGTGGGATAATTGTAGATTATGCTAACGTAGTGTACCTATAATCTTAATTTTAATAATGACAGGAGGCGAGTATTTTGCATGACTTTCTTTACTCATGCCTCCAGCAGCACAAGTCAATCAATAAACTTTTAACCAATCATAAAAGAGTACATAAGCATATATAAGGCTCTGATTGTCACATGACTTCCTCTTTCTTTGAATTGCTATCAGTCCACGTAACGTCAGTAGCTAACTTAAGTTCTTAACGATATAGTGTTTCAAACTTGTTCTCTGGAAAGTCCAACTTCCATAAAATCCAACTCCAAATGGTTAACGCATAATGAACTGAAACTTGATCCGTAAGATCCATTATCCGGCTTGTCTTCTTCTGTGCCAGAAGCGGCAATCACACTGAAAGAAATAGAAACGAGTGTAAGAGGCTGGAAATAGACTGATGTCTATATAATATCATTGACACTATATCAATCCATATCTTATATCAAAAGAAATAAGCTAACTCCATATAACTAGCATTCTAATCTACTATCGACAAATCCTTGTCTATTACCTCAAACATCCCATACATATCTTCTAGATAAACTATGCAGGTTACAATTAGAAGCAATACAAAAGGTGACATATAAGAGAACCAGAGTATGGGAGGAGAGGGAGGCAAAATACTCGCCTCCTGTCATTATTAAAATTAAGATTATAGGTACACTACGTTAGCATAATCTACAATTTTATTACATGACAGGAGGCTTCCTATTTTGCATTTTTAAAGCTGAGGTAATAGCGAGAAAGCTGCGTGTGTGTTCTGACGAAAATAAAATAAACGAAAGGTATCCTCCCGTGTCCAGTCTGCGGAACGTAGGATATCTGCTAAAGACGCTCCCGCCGAGAACACTCTTGAGGCGGCCGCGCCCCTAACCGAGTGAGCCCCAAAACACGTCTCCACTCCTGCTAGGGACAGGATCCAACGAACCCATCGAGCCAGAGTAGTAGTGGTAACTGGTTTGTAAGGTTTGGTGTAAGATACCAACAGTTGTCCTCTGCTAAAAGCTCGAATGATTGCAGTAACCTCCACGTATCGCGTAAGTGCGGAAACTACACATAAACGAGGGACCGTAGGAAAAAATGGATAAGATATAGATGTTGAATTCATTTTGGTTCTACGAGACACCGTGAAGGTAACCCCTTCCGGTGAGATCGAGAACCCATCCACATCGAACGCTCGCACGTCCGAAACCCTTCGAAAGGATACCAAACATAAAAGTAATGTCAGTTTGGCCGACAACTGCCGTAGTGACAAATCTTTATTGTCTGGCCAATTCCAAAGGAAGTTAAGGACCACCTCTACGTCCCACATGTGACTATACTTAGGTTCCGGCGGTCTGGACAATTTGATGCCTCGCATTAGGCGACATACCAAAGGGTCCTGACCAACCGGAGAGCCACGTACTGTTACGTGTGCCGCTGAAATTGCGGAACGCGTCACATTGATGGAACGATAGGATTTTCCCTCGGTGAAGAGGTGCGACAAAAAATTTACCACCATGGTGTTAGGTGCTGTAAAGGGATCACAATTCCGTCCCAGACACCAACGTTTCCATGAATTCCACGCTGATAGGTAACTCCGTCGAGTGCCCGGTGCCCATGAATCCCATAGAAGGTCTTTAGCTGGTTGCGATAGTCCCTCGACGGACCAGGCTCCCATGAAAGACTCCAGGCCACCAGCTCCAGACTCTCTTGTACCACTAGTGGATGTGGTTCCCCTTTCGGATCTGTCAGCAGAAAGGGAACCGATGGAAAAAGTAATGGATGATCCCGCGTGAGAGCCAATAATTCCGGAAACCATGCTTGACTCTTCCACAACGGTGTGATGAGAATCATCGACACCTTGGTTGCTCTGATGCGATGGAGCACTCTTGCTATCATTGAAAATGGTGGGAATGCGTATGCTCCCCTCGGAGGCCACTGTTGTAGAAAGGCGTCTACTGCCTCGCACTGAGGGTCCGGAAGCCAGCTGAAATACCTTGGTAACTGAGTGTTCGTTCGAGAGGCAAACAAATCCACGACCAACGGGCCCCTGAGGTCCCTCACCATTGCAAATACTGAAGTGTCCAGTCTCCAGTCGCTGCCGTCCCGCCAATGTCGAGAAAACCAATCCGCCGTGAGGTTGTTGGCTCCTGGTAAATATTCCGCTTTGATCGTGATGTTGCGGGGAATACAGAATTGATAGATGTCCTTCGTCGCCTCCGTCAGGATCCTTGATCGGGCTCCCCCTAGTCGATTTATGTATTGGACCGCGGAAATGTTGTCCATGCGTAGAAGAATGCAACAGTTCGCCATGTCCTTGGCTAGACTGCGAATCGCAAACGATCCCGCAATCAGTTCCAGGCAGTTGATGTGGAGACTCTGTTCCTCTTGAGACCATGGACCTCCCGTGGATGCGTGTGTGCAGTGAGCTCCCCAGCCCCAAAGGCTCGCGTCCGACTCCAATACAAAGTCCGGGTTCGCCCCGAAAATGGCTCTGCCGTTCCATGCTTCCATGTGCAGTAGCCACCACCGTAGTTCCATCCGAGCCTCCGTGGAGACCGGGATCCAGTGATCGTATGTGTGTCCGGTTCGTAAATATTGGGCTTTCAGTCTCTGCATTGCCCGGTAGTGCAGCGGGCCTGGGAAAATCGCTTGTATTGATGAGGAGAGTAGTCCTACTATCCTCGCTAATAGTCGGAGCGGTATGGTGTCTCTCCTGAGTATCCGTCGGATCTCCTTCCGAATGGCCGCTATCTTGGATGCAGGGAGTCGTAGCACGCAAGAGTTGGAATCTATCTCGAACCCGAGGAACTGGACTACTCGTGATGGAACCAATGATGACTTCTCTCTGTTCACTATAAACCCCAATGATTCCAGAAAGTGAATGGTATTGAATTGAATTCTGGATTTGGAGTCGCCAAAGATCAACAAATCGTCCAGATACACGAGGCAGCGTATTCCTCTTCCTCTCATATGTGCCATTACTGGTTTGAGGAGTTTCGTAAAACACCATGGAGCCGAACTGAGGCCGAATGGGAGACATGTGAATTGGCAAGGGCGACCCCTCCAGATGAAACGCAGGAAGATTCGGCTTTCTCGAGCCATGGGCACCGACAGGTAGGCGTTTTTTAGGTCCAAGCGTGTGAACCAGTCGCGTTCGTTCAGCAGATCCCTCAGAAGATGAATACCTTCCATTTTGAAATGGCGGTAAGCCACAAATCCGTTCAGTTCTCGTAAGTTGATGACTGGGCGGTAGTCTCCCGTCTTTTTCTTGACCACGAACATGTTGCTGAAGTAACCCTGGTCGTCTGGGGCAAGTTCCACCGCTCCCTTGACGAACAGGGTTCGTATCTCCGTGTCTATGAGGCGTCTCTGATTCTCTGACGCCCGGATAGGTGATGGTCGCCTGATCTGAACTGGCGTACGGGCAAATTCTATCACGTACCCTCGCACGGTCTGTAGGATCCATGCGTCTGCGGATATTCGT